TTAGCGAAGGTGGAAAGCAGTGAAGTGAAATGAAGAGGATTAAATATGAGCATACAGGCATATGCAACATGAGCAAACAGATTATTGAAGACTGTGAGATGGGAGCGTCTGCGGCCAAGAATGAACTTCCATGATCAAGTCATGATGTTATTCCTCTGTCGTATGTGTAATAATGTTCAGTGCATACATTAATTAAATATCCTTTTGTGCAGGATTTACTTTGTCATCTCCTTAAAGAAATCTTTCTTAGTCTCAGCATCTCTGTATCACTAAACATTCAGCTACAGATGTACTAAGCATTATATACATACTAAATAAGGGGTGCACAATCAATCAAATTAATATAGAAAATAAAAAGGTACAACAACTGATAAAAGGTAAAAAGTGTCACAGCCCACCATTATGAATGAAGCATTGTGCTGCTACAGAGAAGTCCTGGCCTACAAATTATATTCCAGACATAAGGCAATGTGCATGTTGGGAACAGACCCCAGCAAAAATCACATCATCATCATTTTTTTTTACCATTCGAGAATTGAGAATATAACCCTATAAACACAATCTAATCTTGCCCTGTGCCGGAAAAAAAAAAAAATCCAAGACAAGAATTCACAACTTTTGTTTTGAATTAAAATGTGTTTTTAAGCTTTTAAAATCCAAAACTAATAGAATGTACTGATAACATTGGCCTTTGGTTGTTTGTAGTGGGTACAATATTTTAGTGTTTTATAATCTTTTGAAATTGTTCTTACCGGTTTTATTCTGTTTTATATTTGTGTACATTTTATCTTGGTATATTGTGTGTCATCCTTTTATTTTGTACAGCACTTTGGTCACCTGCGACTGTTTTTAAACGTGCTATATTATGTATTATATATATTTAACTTGATTTAATTTGATAACATTGGTGTAAGACTGTATTGTTTTAATCATCTTTGTTTTAAAATATATACACCTTATGAAAATATAGGTCTTTAAATGTAGGCCTTTGTCTGAGATTTTTGCCAACTCTGTCAGAGAAGTCACCTCTATCAAAAATAATTCTGTTATGTTCATTTAATAAATGTTCACAATGATTATAAACTGAGTTTATCTCAATAAAAGGTTTCTATGGTGCACCTGATGTGTGTCCTTTGTCTTATTAATGACATGTTATTTATCAAAAAGACAAATTACATTATTAACAGTTGTGAGTGGGTGTTATAATATGATTTATTTCTTGAACAGTAAGATATCCAACTTTTTAATCATACAGCTCATTAAATAATCTTGTGTTTAATACAACAAAAATCATTAAACATTTCCCTCATGTTTTACATTATAGGACTGCTTGTGTGTCTGACAGAGTTGACCAAATTTAAGCCTTCAGTTGCACAAAAAGGAATTTAAGAGAAAAAAAAAAACTATTGGGGAGGTTAGCCCATTACAGGTTTAAGAATTTGATGTAATAAAATTTATTTTCCCAGCATGGCTACATAATATAAAAATAATGTTTTGTCCCAATTCTCAAGAATAAGTTTTTCTTTTCAGTAGAAATGAGAAGCAAAAATTACCAATCCCACTAAAATCACGACTCTTACCGCAACACCTGTCCAAAGTATAATATAATATGTTACTCGTATAATATAATATGTTACTCCAGCATGTTTTGCAGCCCTACAATACACAAAACTGTTAAGTCTACATTTCCGAACTCCAAACACATATTCACATATTCAGACTAAAGGATAATGAGATGGATCAATGATTATCTTCTAAGCACAATCTTCATGGTGGTCTGCACAAGACAAATGAGTTTACCGTGCCAGCATACCCTATCTGATTTACCACTCTAAAATTGATTAACATAACAAAAACATAATTCTCTTGTCTAAACCTTAAATGTAAGCCTTACAGCAGACATGTGCAAACTGCTGCCCAGGGGCCAATCATGGCCCAATTTTAAACATCCTGTGGCTTGTCTTTCAAAACATACTATATGTGGCCTGCTACACAATATTGGTTAATCAAGCAAGATAATTTTGCATTATCTCTGTTCACTTCACAATGGCAGGACTGTCATGCAGTTTGTGGACATGCATCAAGCAGGAACTACATAAACAGATTCATAAACAAATGATAAACAGGTAAACAAATGAAGACAGAACCTAGCAGTGGACACCTCCTGCTAGGTAACAGACAAGGCTACAGCAAAGAGGCATAAAGACGACAGCTACTGTAATTTTCAGGAGTGGCGGAGAGTTAATATTTCTGGTGACAGATGAAACTGTTGCATTTGTCTCATCTGAACGTGACTGTTTTCTTTAAATAACTCATATGATACAAGAAGCAGCTGGTGCCCAGATATTTGTTTACGTGTTTTAATATGATCCCTAATATGATATGATCCCTCTGGTCTGCCTTACAGTGCAGACCAGAGACTTTTGTTTTGTTGTCAGGGTGTCTTCATGAATTACAATTCTTACTAATCAGTCTCACTCTGCTAAAATGTGTAATTATTGAGTCTGTTTGAATTATTGTATATTGGCATTTTAATTACTTTAATAATAAAGAACTCTATCCACTCATCATGTACTCATTCCTTTGAAACTGGATTACATGTACAGTGAGATAGTGAAGATTTATGTTGGTCCAGCAGCATGTGCAGATTCTCTTTGGTCCACCTATACTAAAATATACATTTTTACAATAGTTGTGTGTGAATGAAGCATGAATCTAATTACTTAATGCCCTGGATTTGCAATTCCCATCTCTGTCTGTACACTGCTGCCATCTCCTGGTGAGAAGCAGAGTTTGTTGATTTAACATCAGCCAAGAGGTTTTGTTTTGAGGATCTTCTTGGACCACTGATGCTGCCTGCTTATCAGTGACATGGGCTCATTTTAGGTTTATACTGGGTTAGGTGATAAAAACAACCTACAGCAGGAAAACAGAGATGTAGCGGGTGGCTGAATATCTCTGCATCTCTGACCTCAACTGTAATTAAAACCACAGAGGGGAAATTCAAATTGTTTTCACTCTGTTGTCAAATAAACACATGCTGCCCATGGACAGTGGTTCAGAAGCACAGTCAGAAAGGACTTCTAAAGAAATAAAGTAGCATAATGTGTCATTTTACCAACAAAGTTAATGAACTGATTTCTGGTTCCATTGTTGCGCCATACAACAAATCATGTAACATTCATTTAGTAAACTTTGAGACGTACTAGTTTGAACTCTGATACAGGTCCAGATAAATACAAAGACTGACCTTTAACAACTACAACAGTGTTTTCACTTAGGAGAGAGAGAGAAAGCTTGCTGTAATTTACAAACACAGCAAGGTTATTATCTCAGATTCATGTGACAAGTTTTCAAAACTGCTAGTTTTTTGCTGAATTAATGAGATAATTATCTGTAAAATTCAAAAGGAGCAAATTTTTTTCATCTCAAGTAAATGCATTACACCAATAAAAACATATCACAGGTCAAAATGCTTGCAGTCACATCAGAAAGTATAAATGCATGTATCACACACACATGACTTACACACTCTAATCCAGTGGTTCTCAATTGCAAATCCAGGTGTGCTGTGGGATTTTGTGATAACCACACATTATTACTGCAATATTAAACTGGGAATATACAAAAAGTTATGAATGATTTTTTGACTAACTGTATCAGTATGTAGTGTGCACCCATTTCCTAATAAAGAGGCAAAAAAATGTAAATTAATGTAATTTAAAAAACCTTCAAGGGGAACTTATTTGTCACAGTTCACACCTGGGAATTACAAGTGTGTGACACATCACACTATCTTAATACCTTATTTCCACTTTAAATGGATGTGTTATTGGTACTCTGATGTAATTTAAAAAGTTTAAAATGAATTCTTGTATAATTTTGTAAAATATTTCATGAGTTGGTTGTCATTAGCAAATAAAAACAAACACTTATGTCATGATAAGAGTGATAATACACCGTATAGAGCTGGGTGTCAAAGATACAGCCTGGGGGCCAGAACCGGCCCGCCAAAGGGTCCAATCCAGCCCTCTAGATGACTTTGCACACCTAATGTTGATGCACATGTGAAGGCCAAGAGGTTTCAGTAGAGATTTAAACACTGAGTAGATACTTAATGTAAAATGCTGCCTCAGAGGCTTTTCAAACTGACCAGACACAGCTGTTTGAAATAACAATGAACACTGACTGTGGTCGTATTTAAAGATATTGATCATTGTGCAAAATCTTGTCAACCAGCAGCTTCAGTACAAAAATAATCTGTTTCAGACTTTTATCTTTAAAACAATATGGGTGGAACCCTGCTGCTGAGGCAGTGACAGAACTTCAGATTGTAAGTGGTTTGTAAAGCAGGAGATGACTTAATGTGCTTCTTCAACAGCTTCACTTTAGTGTAAAATTATGAAAAAATGCACATGTAATTAAAGTGAGTAGTCGACTGAGTGAAATTAGAAAAACTGACTGCTGAATTCGCACATATTTTTCATTTAATTTCGCTTTGTAAATGGATGAACATTTTCACAATTGACTTCCTTACACTAAAAAAAGGAAACAATTCAAAAGGATGATATTTATAGATTATTATGCAGTGGTTTTACTGCAGATCAAACTGAGCTGTATGTGGCCCCTGAACTAAAATGACTTTGACACCCCTGTTGTAGAGGCTATTGTGCACAAATACAGGTGTGCCTTGAGATTTTGACCTGCCATCTGGTGTGCTTTGGGCACATTTATTTAATAAGCTGACTCACAGTGCTGCTTAAAAACAAAAAGAGAGAGAGGAAACTTTCAAACAACTATCAGCAGACTCATTCACAAAAAACAGGTGACTGAACAACCAGTAAATGCAACAGTGGAGAAACCAAAACATTCAAAGCAGCTCAGGCTCTGTGTCCATGTGACACTGACACACAACAACACAACAGCTTTAAAACAAACACAGTATGACACTTATTTAGCAGCAGCAAACAAGAGACAGACAGAGTTTATAAATAACTCACGTTATCTGAAGAGCTTCTTTCTTTCGTGGAGTATCCATATTATAGATGTATAAATCCAAATTACAATTATGTCCCACTGTTTGTTGACAGCAGTCCGTGCTGTTAGCCAAGTTAGCAAAGCTAGCTAACTTTATCCGTTGAGCAACACTTGAAAACAAGCTAACTCTCGCACGTGCTTCATTGAAAATACGTTAAATTAAACTTTCTATTTTTTTATCGGGAGCTCAGAGTAAGTCTGGCTCTATAACTTACTTAAGAGCGTCTTTTCTTCAGACATGTCCATCTGTAGTAGCAGCAGCATGTAGCAGCGTCTAATTGATTGACACTCGTCACGCTTTAATTAACGTCACCTGGCGGACTTCTGTGAGGGTGCAATACCATGATTGACCACACTGACTGCTCTTTATAGGCTGTTGTAAAGAGGGGGGCGCTGTTTCACTCATTTCAGGAAACTCCAAATATATGGATAGGACATGGCTGCGACAACAAAATGAGACATGTTTATGTTAGACAGGAAGTTATTATTTAAAATGGCGGTCAGTTTGGATAGTAGGGAGAGCAGCTTTATTCAGAGTGTATTAAATGCTTGATAGTTAATTAGTTGCTGAGAGCAGATCAAAGGAAAATAAGGATCAACACAATTTTGCTGAACTCTGTTTTAGAAGACAGAAAACAATTTTAGGATAAAATAGGAATAAATATTAGTCACATAAGTTGTTTTTACCTTTGATTTTTTTTTAACCCAATTGTGCCCAGTTTCCTTTGTGTCAGCAAATATCTAGAAAGTATCTAGAAAGACAAAATAAGCCTGATTTATCCACCATAAATACATTTTTTTTTTAATCAAAAATGCAAAAGAAAAGAAAATAGAAAAACTAGTGAGAGCGGTGAATTGTTTTTGGAAGCAGGTTTAAATTATCTCCACCAAGTAGCTGCGATTAGTTGTTTCATAAAAAGCAAGGTAACAAACAAAATGGAGCTTTTGTCAATGAAAAAAATGAAGACAAAATCAAAGGCCTTTAAACAACAACAAAAAAAAAACTTTCAGTCAATTTATGTCATTTGCTGCAGGATGTTTTGATGGTAGGCTACATCACTCAGTCCGTAACAGCACCACCAACAAGGATAAAAGAAAAACATGAAAATAATAACAGTATCACATATCAGCCATATTTTACCCAAATATTTGTCTAGCTTTGCAACCTGCTTCCACACCAAATTATAAGCCTACCAGACCTGGCTATGGTCTTCCATTGCAACTGCTGGGACAAATGATGTAGAGGACTTTGTTGCAGTAACAGTAACGTCAGACTCAGACATGGGAGATCAGTATAGTTTCAATGGTAGTTTAATTTGAACATTCAACATAAGTATCAATTATCATCACTCACATATTCATGTTTTATTTAAACCTAAGACATGGGAGATGGAGACTGACTGACTTTATGGTTATTTTTTATTGTCAGTAAGTCATAACAGATTCTTTTCACAATTAAGAACTGAACCTTTAAGAGCGGGAAAGAGGGCATGAGTACAGCAAAGAGAAGTGGGCAAAAGATAGGAGCTGGAATTGTTGTGAAAATGGGAATGGGGGGAGTAGAGGAGACGTTTTGGATGAAGACACGGGGGTGGGTGGGGGTATGAAGACAAGAAGTGAGGGTCAAACAGAAGGAGGTGTAGGAAACGGTGACATGGACAAAGATAACACTGATATGTCTCAAACCCAGAATATTAGAGCTGTGAATTAAACTGTAGAAGTGTGACAAAACGTTGCACATGTTGTAAACAATGCATCAATGTATAAAGTAAACAATACAGTAGTAGTTACATTATAGTCTTTTGCTATACTTTAATCATGTTAGTCATCTATAGGAGGTTAAAACCCTACTGATGTTGATTTCTCAGCTGTGTAGTGGTACCTTGGTCCAAAACAGTGACAGAGTTACAGGAACAACTGAGTCGTTGATGTGGAGGTTTGCTGTGATCAGACTGGAGCACGCTGTCTTTTGGTTTGTAACTGTACGCCACGTGTTTAACCTCCACCCCACAGTCGGTGTGGACATTTAAACATGAACAAATGAACAAAAAGCTTCACCTTAAACGTACATGTGAACATTTTCAAGGTCAATGCTTCATTGAAATGTTTTGTTGTATGCACATTATGATCCACTGAACAATCAGACATGCATTTATAATGTTATCACTTTACACACCGAATGCATCACACATTAACACTGGAAGAGGAAATGGGTTCTTGTTGTTGCTGCAATTTCACATATTCACATAATTCATACCAAAAAGCCTGTGTCACCATTTTTGATCCAATTTAATTGTTTCAATCGCTTTGGAATTTCCACACATTTCAAATGGCCTGCACACACAACCTGATCAGGAGGGAGGGTGTATTTATTTAATGTAAGCATCATTTTCTTTGGGAACTAAGGGACTGTTCGTTATTTATGAGAGGAGAGGGGGTGGTCAAATAACTTTTCAAGCTCTGGGGAGGGACTTATGCTTTTTATTTTGGAGGGTTAGTGGAGGGGCATAGAAATTTAAATGGTTGTATTTTGCATTTAAAAGGTGTGTTTTCTTTAAAAATCTCCAAAAATGCACCATTTTTCATGGCCAGAATCTGTAAGAACAGAAATTATCATTGGATTTTGAAATTTCCGATGGTCCTTGGACACATCACATGTGACAAATGCTTCCGTCACGGAAAAAACGTAACGAAATCTTCGCTTAAAATGGTGATATTTCATCATTCATTCATTTTCCGTAACTGCTTATCCTGTTGGGGGTCTTAGGGCTGGAGCCTATCCCAGGTGACATCAGACGAGAGGCAGGGTACACCCTGGACAGGTCACCAGACTATCACAGGCCTAACACATAGAGACAGACAAGCATTCACACCTACGGACAATTTAGAGTCACCAATTAACCTGCATGTCGTTGGACTGTGGGAGGAAGCTGGAGTACCTGGAGAGAACCCACTCTGACACAGAGAGAAGATGCAAACTCCACACAGAAGTGCTCCCCCACCCATCTGTGTGGAGTTCGAACTAGGAACTTTCTTGCTGTGAGATAATGGGTACGTTTAGAAATGGCATAACTAATTTATGGTGGAGGGAAGGTTGCATATATTCCCTAGGTCACGGAAGGCTCAAGGAATAATATCTGTAGCTTTGGGGAGGGTCAACAAAACAAACAAACAAAAAAAAAAGAAGTCACACCCTGGCCACTCCTCCTCTGATCAATACAGAACAGTCCTAGAATTTTGATTGTGTTGTCATGGAGACACGTGACACAACAATACCTTTATCAACCCAAACTGATAAAAAAATGAAACATTCAGTCGTTGACACTGTTGCAGCAACCTTTTCAAATTCCGATGAAAGTACACCAAGGCACTTGAAGTTGTATAAATCAACAATTTCAGTCAATAGTTTGTTGACATACTTATCTGTTAAGGCAAATACATTTCACTTTGGCATTACGGCTTTATTTAAAATGGCTTCCCCGCCCACTCAGAAGATCCACTCATGTTTAGCAGCCATTTAAAGAGCGACTTAAACCAGCAGAAGTTGCTTTTGCTGTGGTGATGTAGGAACAAACCTCAGGGTGTGTCAGTACACCGTGACATCACTGTCGTAGGTAGGAAGAGTTGGCACAGAGCATCCTTCTGACCACAAACAACAACAGTCAGCAGTGATACACACACCTGGCATTAAGTTACTCTTAACTGTCTCTTCACTTTCTTTGTTATGTGATCCGGTGGTGACTCATGACTCATCAGCGATATCCCTTTGTATCTGATTTAAAACTAATTTCAAATCTCAGCAGCTAACAGATAAAGACTCAGCATGGTGCTGAACTTACAGTATGATTTCACTATTGTCGATTTGAATGTGAATTCCTCATTTACAATTTTTAATTCTCAAAGAAAACGTTCACCTTAAAGTCAAGAATACATATTTTTCCTCTCACCTGTAGTGCTATTTATCAGTCTCGATCGTGTTGGTGTGAGTTGCCGAATGTTGGAGATATTGGCCGTAGAGACGTCTGCCTTCTCTTATTTGTAATGGAACTAGATGGCACTCAGCTTGTGGTGCTCAAAGCGCAAAAAATATACAAAAACTCAACAGCAATGTCTCTTTTTTTCAGAAATCATTGCTCAAGACAATGAACAGACCTTGTTGTGAGCAGTTTTATGTAGGTACTATTTTCTTTCTAACGAACTACACCCGCCAACTGGATCACAGCGCAGAAGGAAACATGCATCTACTGCTAGCTCACCTAGCATCACTTAGCTAGCTCCGCCGTGGAAGACGCCATTAATGTTCACATCTGGCAAAGTCATGAGCATGAGCCTCTTCACGAGTAGATGCACACTTCCTTCTGCGCAGTGATATGGCTGGCAAGTGCAGTTTAGTAGAGAGAAAATAGCTCCTACATGAAACTGCTCACAACAAGGTCTGTGGATTATCTTGAGTAACCAGGTCATGATTTCTGTAAAGAGACATTTTTTTGGCAATAATAAATAAGCACATACACAGCACACAAGAGGTCTGAATTGCTTCTTCTCTTGCCCTCTTGTGTGCTGTGTATGTGCTTATTTACTATCAGTCCAATGTTTCCTGCCTTCCTGCCATCACCTGCACCAAGTTATATGGATCGACAGTGCTTTTGAATTAGTATTTTTGGCGCTTTGAGCACCCCAAGGCGAGTGCCATCTAGTTCCATTATACTGGAGAGAAAGCAGACATCTCTATGGACGATATCTCCAACACTCTGCAACCCACACCAAAACAATCTAGATGTATAAACAGCACTACAGGTAAGAGGAAAAATATATATTTTTGATTTTGGGGTGAACTGTCCCTTTAAAAAACAGCAAATATCTCTCAGATTTTCATGTCAAACCTCATGTGGCTCCAAGTCTGGTGTACAACAGCAAACTAAAGAATAACACAACATTAGAACAAACTGTTAAATCATCTCTGTGGAAAGAGTCTTTTATGGTTTCTCAAAGAACTCACATGTGAGGATGACGTCCATTATATAGTGAAGCAGGTTAGCTAGGCACGTACAGTTCCCGCTCTCCTCTCCAAGAGGGAGGGCAACAAAAGACTGCCACCTTTTCCTTGTCCTGGAGTCAAGGGAGCTCTTCTCTCTCAGCCCTCCTCTCTCAGTGTCCAAAGCCTCCCACACATCAGCACTCACATTAACATCATGCAAATACACTTTGAAAATATAGAATTCATTGGGTTAGGGTATATATTTATATAGATTTATACATACATATAAATTCATATACTTTTAAGGAATGTTAATCTATTTTGCTGTGTATTTTTTTCTCCTTA